TCTCCCCGCGTCCCTGTGCCGATCATGGATGTAGGCGGGCGCTGAGTGTGAGTGTGGCTCTTGATGCACTGACTCCAGCCTCAGTCCACTCCTTGTGAAAGTCCCCAACACTTTTGAATGGCCTTTTCCTGACAATCCTCTCCAGGCTGCGGTCATCCCTGCTGCTTGTGCACCTTTTTCTTCCACACTTTTCCCTTCCACATAACTTTCTATTAATGTGCTTTGGTACAGCACTTTGGGAACATCCAAATTCTTTTGCAATTACCTTTTGAGGTTTTCCCTCCTCAGGTCAGCAGTCTTTCCCATGATTGTGATTCCTTCTGAACCAGACAGAGACCATTTAAAGGCTCAGGAACCCTTTGCAGGTGTTATGGCTTAATTAGCTGATTAGAGTGGGACACTTTGAGCCTGGAATATTGCACCTTTTCACAATATTCTAATTATCTGAGATTGTGGATGTAGGGTTTTCATGAGCTGTAAGCCATAATCATCACAATTATGATAAATCACGGCTTGAACTATCTTGCTTTGCATGTAATGAGTCTATCTCATATATTAGTTTCACCTTTTAAGTTACATTAGTGAAATAAATGAACTTTTGCACGATATTCTAATTATTCGAGTTTCACCTGTATGTTTTTGTAACAGCCAGCCTGTTGGTGTACGTCTTGTTTATTGTGGTGTCAGGCTAGAGCAGCACAGTGGCATAGTGGTTAGCACTTCTGCCCTGCAGCACTGGGGGTCCGAGGTTCAAATCCTGGCCAGGTCACTATCTGTGTTTGTGTGGGTTTCCTCTGTTGACTCCTATACTCCAAAGCAGGGCCGGACTGGCCATAGGGCCGAGCCAAACACAATCCGCTCTGCCTGATTGCATTGATTGTGTATGGCTGCTATGCCAGATGCAGATTGTTGATTTAACTCTCCCTGCTCAGAGACAGAGCAGACAGATGTAAAAGAGCATCAGTCTGTAGGAGCAGGCTGATTGCATACTGCACTAGTGCTGACAGACCGATGCTTGTTTACATCTGTCTACTCTGCCTCTGAGCAGCGCAATGAGAGGGAGGAGCTAATTTACATTGTGAGCCTGTCTGGGGTAGATGGGGTGTTTGCAGGCTGATTTGAGGCAGGCAGCTTTGGTCACATGCTGTGAACTGCCCAGTAGGACCCCTGGTGTGCAGGAGCAGAATGGACACGTGCAGTGAGTCAGTTTGAGCGCCAGTATCGGTAGGAGACGGATTTGCATGCAGACTGTGACTGACAGCAGCAGCTTGAGAGACACCCTGAGGAGCTTGAGGCTGGAGTCATCCCTTCACATTCAAAGTAGGAGTAGCTATGCAGGGTTAATGGCAGCTGTAAGTGGTTGATGGTGGCTCTGGGGTAGGTGTGTGTGGTTAATGGTGGCTTTCAGGTAGGTATGGGGGCTCTGGGGTAGCTGTGCGGGGGTTAATGGGGGCTCTGGGGTAGGTGTGTGTGGTTAATGGCGGCTCTCCGTTAGGAATGGGGGCCCTGGGGTAGGTGTGCAGGGTTAATGGCGGCTCTGCGGTAACTGTACGGAGTTGATGGCGGCTCTAAAACTGCAGCTAATACAAACGATCAGGCGTCTGTAGAGACGCCCGATTGCTTGTATGTAAACCGCCATCCAAGAAGCTCCTGGCCGGCCGTTTAATTACAACGGCCGGCCGGAAAGCTATGCGTCCGGCTCTGGCGTCCTCTTGTCACAGACGAAAGGACGAGTGGATTTTTCAAGTCCTGTCTCTAACTGATGGTGGTATTCTGCATTTCTGTATCATTTATTGCTAGGATTTGTAGTCCTCTATAGCTTAGAGTCGGTGGCAGAACTACCAGGAACACAGTTTTTCCATCTGGGACCAGGCCCTGGCACTTCACCACTGTCCTAAAATCATTGGTCTGTATAAATGTCACCTGACGCTAAAAAAAAAAAAAGGCATCGGCAAGTACTTAAGGTATAGTATCAGTACTTGGTCTGTAGAAAGTGGTATCCGTGCACCCCTACTGTGTACCTATAAATTGGAGAGCATGCCTATCTATAACTCCCACTATGCCTGTATATTTACAGGTATAGAGGGAGTAATAGACAGGTATGCTGTGCAATTTACAGGGAAAAGTATATCTGTCTATACCCTGTATACCTATAAATTGCAAAGCATACCTGTCTATTAATCCCTGACTGGCTCAGTGGACCAAACCAGGCAAACACTATCAGCCTAATTTTGTTCGGCCTGGCCAACTATGCCTGATCACCTGCTCTGAGCAGGGCACTGAGAGGGTTTGCTCTTGGATTAGCCACTCCCCCATTGCTTGTTGTGGTACGCCGGTCCTGTTTGCTCAGTGCCAGAAACAGCGTTGGGAGCATATGGGGTCATGGCCGGCTCTATTGCCGGCAGCTAAGGGTGATGAGTCAAGAAAGACCCTGGTGCCCAACGTCCCTTAGGCTAGAGATGAGTTGGCGCCAGCTGCTGTGCAGAGAACACAGTGGCAGATGCAGGAGGGGGCAACGGAGTAATTTAACTTCTCCCTCCCACTGCTGCCATAATAATCTGTGGGGCACTGTTATAGAAATAATCTGCTTGGTACTGTTGTGGTAATAGTCTGCAAGATTCTATTGGTTACTATTGTAATATTCTGTGGTATACTGTTCTAACAATCTGTTGGTTACTATTGTAATATTCTTTGGCTATGCCACCCATGGAGTCTTCACTATATCTATATATTATCCCCTGTAATTAGGGAGCTGGCTTAGGCCTGAGGTGGCTACCTAATTTGCCTAATTAGAGAGGTGCCTGCGCTCCTGGCATCCCACATTTTATTACCTGTATGCCCACTCCACATTCTGCAAGCATCCACCTGAGTGTCAGTATTCTCTGCTACACACAAAGCGTTCAATTTGGAGCAGAAATTGCGTATCGCTGCAGACTTCCCAGCCAATAGAGTATTGTCTTTGAGATACCAGGCAAAAGCTGTCAGTGAGGTGGTGTTGTGGTACGCCTGTGTACGGAATTGGTGGTATTTGCCAGAATTGCTGGAGAACTGTGAGCGCTATTTCGGGAGCACTGACCTGTACAGGTTGTGGAGGATGGCTGGGGAGGTGGAGATCTACTGAGGATATTGCAAAACTTCTCTGTAGCAAGCTTCCTATATTGTTGCAAGGTTTGTATGTTGGTTGCTGCAAAGCTTGTGTGTTGGCTCTAGCCCTCCTTACTTACTAGTGGCTAGCCCTGCCCCTCAATTGTGCTTCAATTTTTGGCTCCGCCCATGGAGTGCAAGGGGGTGGGGCCTGTTAAGGGTCATGTGATTGGGCTGCTCAGTCTAAAATGCCTGGGCCTATTTTTTGTCCCAGTCCAGCCCTGCCCCAAAGACATGCTGGAAGGTTAATTGGCTCCTATCTGAATTGGCCCCTGCATGGGGATTAGATTGTAAGCTCCTAGAGGGCAGGGACTGATAAGAATGTGCACTATGTAAAAGCATTATGTATATTGTGAGCGCTATAAAAAAATCTGTAATAAATAATTGCTGTCTTAAATTTTTTGCAGGTGGATTCAATTTGAAGAAAAAATTGAAGATGGAGGAGAAAGATGGAGCAAACCTCATGTTACCACACTAACATTACATAGTTTATTTGAGTTAAGAACATGTTTTGAAAAGGGAATTATTTTACTGGATACAGAAAAGTGTACATTTAGAGAAATAATAGGTATTGTATATTTAAAAAATTGTTTAATTTAATTAAATTAGGAAAACGAATAATTCAATTTTTAAATTAGATGGGTTAAGTTGCACATAAACTCTTTCAATTAACCCCATCATAGGTAGTGCATGTGGTATCCATTGGCACCAGGCTGGTACTTTAAAGATGGTGTGCCATTCCCCCACCCCCCCCTTCATTTAGAACCTGCCTGTTGACATTAACCTAGCATTCATGTAATAATTTTGCTGTGGATATGCAAGTCTGCATGCCTGCTCGGCATGTTATTGTGTGATGGGCACATGTTCTTAATTTAAATTATGAAAACAATAAAGAAACATTTAAAAAATGGTAGTTCTGGGGGGGCGCATGCTCGCGGCTGCATTTATGGATGTGCTCTGAGGCAGCTCTGCACCAGCCGGGAAGCATTTTCCCGTTATTCCCTGCACCGCTAGATATTTTGGCTAAAACAGAAAGACATAGACAGCGCTCTCGGATGGGGAATGCTAGCTAACAGACATGTGTGCTGCCCTGGAAACAGGAGGAGTACCTGTAGATGCAGATAAACAAAGGGACACGGAGGGCGCAAAAACACAGCGGTGGAGCAATAGCTGGTTGGGCTAGGGTGTGTATAACAGACAAACAATGTACTAATAAGGAATAGTTGGCAGAGAATGGATGTAATGGTACTTACATGTGAATCCAGGAATCAGGATGTGGGCGGCCTGTGAGGAGGATCGGGACTCTCGTGGTGTCTGTTGATGTGCTGCTTGAGAGGGTTCGTCTACCAGGGAGGGATGCTGTGGAAGGAGAAAGGGGACTCTGTCCGTGGTGTTGCTGAGGGGGTGTTGACTCTGGGCAGTGTGAGGGAGAATCAGGAAGAACCCGACGGTAACGAGCCCAGACTGAGCTACTGTGACCGCGGTTGTGAGGGACGGCACTCGGTCTGTGTCTGGTCAGCTGAGGGCGGTGTGCAGGAGTCGGTGTGCGAGCGCAGCTGACAGATCCCGGGTGAACGGGTCAGTGAAGGGACGGGGGTGTACTGGATAAGGATGAACATGAGCGACGCGTTTCGAGGTGTTAACCTCTTTTTCCAGTCGACCTTGAAAAAGAGGCTAACACCTCTTTTTCTATGTCTTTCTGTTTTTGTTTACCAGTCCCTCACTGAGTGGAGTTTTTTATACAGCAGCACCCGGCCTCTATATCCATTTTTTACCATGACTACCATGGACAGGAACAAAAAATTAGATCTAATATTTCCCATGGGAGCCCTGTGTCCCAACATCTCAGCCTTGTCCAGATGTCCCCCCACCACCACTTCCAGACAAATTAGATGTGTCTAATACAATCGCCCCGCACTCCATGGCCCAGGAAACCCACATGCAAAGTCTCTTTTTTAAACTTAAAAATTGAATAAATCATGAGAGCTTGCAATGGTGGGACATAGCGTTCCTACGCAAATACACAGACTTCGGGATAACCCCAAGGGGACTGCGCATCAAGAAACAGTGTGACTTCCTGGACACAGACCTCAAAGATAACTGGCATTTATTGGCCGATTTCTGTACCAAAAAATGGATACCTCTCATCATCACCCAAAGGGAACGCAAACTTAATTTGCTTAAAGCAAACATTACACAACTACAACAAACACTTCACACTTCTTTTGGTGACTCTTGCCTATACACCTCCTGGTTCGTCACCCTTGAACACAACATCCGTAAACATGAGGACACTATTATCTGCTCCAAATCCCAAAAATTCCTAAGGGATATGGCAGACTACGCCAACCGTAAGGTCTTCAATTGGAAAAAATACCCCCATCCCCCCACCACCAACGCCTGCTCTCCTCTCCCCCCTCCCTTCTATCCATACACCCCACACCATCCCTTGGATAGCGGCCCTCATATGGAATGGGATATCCAAAACCTACATATCACAAGATCGTCACCGAGTCCACGCACCCCATAAACAATCTTACACATCTCAAATCATAAAGAACACACCCGCCCAAAGCACCCATCCAAACTCATACATCCCTGCAGGCACTATTGAATAAAAAAAAAAACCCTTGCCAGCCAATCCCTCACTCCCCGCCAGCCCCATCATGCCCCTCATCCCCAGCTCCCAACCATGCACCGTGGTGGCCAACCCCACCACCATATCCCCCGTGCCAAGACCACTTCATGCTCACACCATCACTACCAGTTCTTTTTTAGACTTGGGCCATTCACACCCGCCCAAACTAAAAAGAAAATAACCAGAAGAGGAAACAGAGCAGGAAAATTGGTCCAAAAGAGGAAAAGCAACAAACTAGCACCTTCCACCATCAAAATCTTCAACCTCTCTAATCATACCCTTAGCCCATATGAGACATCCCTATTACAAAAGGGCCTAAATTTTGCTCCCACTGCCAAACCCAACCCGTTCACTCTATTTATAGACCTTAATAGATTCATTCGTAAACTAACACTTCAAAGACACTACGCAAACAGAAAACAGTATTCACCAAACATGCCCACCACCCCATTGTCCCCCAACAATTCCAGCAGCAACATGGATGACACAGATACTGATACTAGCTTGAGCTCTATAATTGGAGGTGACCAAGTAGGTTTCATCCCTTGTCGACAGGCTGGAGATAACTTTCGGTGTATGTCCCTTCTTTACACATTGCCAAATCCCGTAAGCTACCAGTTATACTCCTGTCACTTGATATCTAGAAAGCGTTTGACTCTTTATCACGGGGTTTTCTTTTCGCAATGCTAGACAGATGAGGTTTTGGCCTACATTTTCAGGAGTGGGTGGTGGCGCTTTATTCTCATCCGATGGCTAGAGCCATCAGTCGGAGCCCTTCCCAATAGAGCAGGGTACTCAACAGGCTTTCTGTTATCCCCGCTTCTGTTTGTCTTAGCTATTGGGCCATTGTGTAACAGATCCCGGTGACTCACCCGACCGGCATCACAGAGATGCCCCCGGTCTGTGACGTCTCGGTGTTCCGCCTCCCTCCTCGGCTTAAGCCGAGATCTCTCACTTGTCTGGCGTTCCAGCAACCGATGCGGATGCCAGACTGTGCACCTCCGCACTCGACCAAGACTGCAGCTCACTAGCAGCCTCAGGGAACCTGTCATCTCCCCTCCTTTTATCGCCACATTCTCACCTACTTACCATTTAGGGCAATCCGGAGTTTTGCCCTGGTTATGACCACCCTCAAGCGCTTCGGCATTGGGCTACCAACCGATTGCTTCATATCTCCAGACTAGTCACCCCCACAGGTGTGAAGACCTTCTCTTACCTTCGCGAGCACTTTCATCTCCCTCCCGCATACATTTTTCGTTATCTTCAGGTTAAACATTATCTGGATACTCTGCAAAGTAATTTCCCTGACATCTCTACCCCCACGGCTTTCGAAGGCTTATGTGCCTCTGACCTTCATTTCGCGGGAGTTATTCTTCTCTTGTATTCCCTCCTCTTGGCACCTCTACAGTCGGTCCCACCCTCCTATGTTGGATAATGGGAGACAGAGTTGGGGGTGGTAGCATCAGACAAGAGTTGGTCACAGATGTGGCTGTCAGCGAAAGACCTGCTCCACGCATGCGCCAAGGAGGAAGCGCACACGCATGCGCATAGCATGTCCTCCACGCTGAAAGACGTGCCGTATGGCGCACAGGAAGTTACATGATTGATTAGCTCACTTCCTTATTTAAACCCAGCTCACATGCTCATTAGTTGCTGGATTGTCTTCTCAGCTCCTGTGTGTGTTTTGTATCCTGATCCCTGCCCTGCCTTGATTATCACCGTTTACCTGGATTTTGACCTGTTTTTGCCTCAACAACCTTCCTTGATTGCTGCCTGCCTTTTTTTGGCCTCGGACTGTTTATTGGATTATTCTTCTGCCTTCTCACTTTGGTACTTCATCTGATCTCCTGGCTTTTGACCTTGGCTTACCTTGATTTCTGGATTTCCCTGAGCACTCGTGCCACTCAGTGTCTGCCTGGCCTCTGTCACCATCCTCAAAGGCCACAAGACACGAGGTGCAAGAGAAGCCACCTCAAACACTCAGTCTCCCTACCAGGTACGTGACAGTGGCTCTCTAACTCTAAGAGCTCCACTTCCATGTCTGGATTGGAAATCAATTACAAACTATTCTTCATGAGGTACCTGGTTCCCCAGCAGATCTCTAGAGTCCTTCCCTCCTACCCCTCTTCCTGTTTCAGGGGTTGTTCTGTGGAAGGCTCTTTTCCACATATCTGGTGGGACTGTCCACTAGTCACCTGCTTTTGGACTAAGATATTTGCCAAAATCACCCTATCGCAAAGCCCTTATATTGCCCTTTTTAACCAGAAACCACCTGTAGTCAATAACCACCAATTTAAATTACTGCTACATATCTTTACTGCAGCCAGGAAGGTGATTGCGAGATCTTGGAAGTCACCCTCACTCTCTCTTAAAATGTTTTTTTGCTATAATGTCACAGGTAATGTTTTTTGAGAAACTCCCGGCGTCCCAGGAGGACACCCTGGCTAAGTACTCCACTGTCTGGGACCCGTGGATTGCTGCCTTCTTTCCAGGAGACATTGACCGGATCTCCCTGCTCCTCTGATCACTTACATTTTGTTCCTGTAGTGTCGTGGGGTGGAGAGCCGGCAGCTTTGTGTTGTTTGTCTACCTTTCCTCTCGTTCCGTCTTTTGTGTGTTTATCGTTTTCCCCATTATCCTCTTTTAAACATCTGCGTTACTTGAGCTGACCAAATTGCGCTTGTCACACACTGTGCATTATGTTATTGTTGGCTGGGGCTTTTGCCTTGGCCCTGACATTTATTGGGGTTTTCCTCCCCTTTTTTTTTGTCTTTATTTGTTTAATATGAAAATGTGTTCAATAAAAGTAAAAAAAAATGGTAGAGCTAAATCCAGCAAAGTTGGATTCTGTAAGTGGATTGAAAGACTGACAACAGCTTTAACAACTTCATTTTTATTATTTAATAAGTCCCCAAACTGACACTCTTCCTGCTAATGGAGCAAAACTTCATTGCTCTTATTACATTTATTTTCGCATAAAATAAAATGAGCACCCAATCAGTTTATAGCTGTTACTTTCTGGAGTGCCTTAAAAAATATAATTCTGTGGGCAGCCCAACGTTTCCTTTTTCTCCAGCTTTTAAAAGTAAGGCCAATTTTATTATGTATGGTATATATACCTTGGAAATAAAAGGTGTTTATTTTCTTGCAGATCATGTACTAAAACGAAGAATTTCCATTAATACAACATATCAGGAAGAAAATGAAAATATATTAAATGTCCTGCTTCAAAATCATGTACATCATACAAGAAAATCACGAACAAAATTTATGAAAGACATAATTTCATCAACTAGTAGGAGTAAGTGTTACGTAAAAATTTAGCGTTCTTTATTTCTTTACTTTTAAAATTAGTTAAAAGGATATGTCAATATAAATGCAGAAGAAAGATGAAAAAAATCGGTACTTTCTACAAGACAGAACTACAAGAGTTAATATGTAGAGATGTGCAATTCGTTTCAGAAAAATTTGCTTTTCGGACAAATTTTCATCATTCGGAGATTTGGATCTATCCTCATTCCCAAATAACAGAAATGATGAATGAAATGAATCCGATTTTCCGAAAATGGAAATCTGTTTTTTTTTTTACAGTCTGCAGAAGGGAAAAAAAAAGCGTGTGGTTCCCTCCCAATTCATATAAGACCCTTTAGGTCTGGTGGGAATGTTAGGAGGGACCCCCAAGTTAAAAAAAAAATGTGGGGGGAAAAATGTGGGGACCCCCTAAAACTTTATATCATTGGATTTTGATACAGAGACTTGTTCTTTATAATTTATAACTACTAGATAATGGTAACTGACTTGACACTAATTATTTTGTCACTTTATTCAGGGTGGCTGTGTATTGTACTAAGTTCTGTTTGCACATATATATATATATCTACACTGAGAGGCCAGATTATTATGACCACCTGACATTTGTAGGCAAATTAGCTAAATTTAGCTATAATTTTGCGCTGTGGTTGCTAGAGGGCCAGACCATTATAAATATGGAAGCAGGTTGTTTAGCATTATTAGTCCAGTAGACAAGATGTCAAAAAAGACAAAAACGCAGTATTGCAGTGTGCCACTGGACTCTAAAAAAGCGGAGATATGTTCTCTAGAGTGACGAATCGCGCTTCTCTGCCTGGCAATCCGATGGACGTGTCTGGTGTTCGGCGGTTGCAAGGAGAGTGGTAGTTGCCTGACTGCATTGTGCCGATAGAACACTTTAGGGATGAATTAAATCGGGTTGAGGTCAGGACTCTGTGCAGGCCAGTCAAGTTCCTCCACCCTAAACTCGCTCATCCATGTCTTTATGGACCTTGCTTTGTGCACTGGTGCGCAGTCATGTTGGAACAGGAAGGGGTCATCCCCAAACTGTTCCCACAAAGTTGGGAGCATGAAATTGTCCAAAATGTCTTAGTATGCTGATGCCTTAAGAGTTCCCTTTACTGGAACTAAGGGGCCAAGCCGAACCCCTGAAAAACAACCCCACACCATAATCACTCCTCCACCAAACTTTACACATGGCACAATGCAGTCAGGCAAGTACCACTCACCTGGCAACCGCCAAATCCAGACACGTCCATCGGATTGCCAGGCAGAGAAGTGCGATTCGTCACTCTAGAGAACACGTCTCTGCTTTTCTAGAGTCCAGTGGCGGCATTCTTTACACCACTTCATCTGACGCTTTGCAGTGCACTCGCTGCTGATGGTTTCAAGGTGGCAAAAATCCTGTGTAATAAAATTACCTAGGAGGCCTTACACTGACCGCCAATGTAACGGAGGTATTCACACTGACCACCAATGTTGAACCCAATCTGCCTGTTTATAGCACATTATTTTATTAGCTAAATCCATCCCCATCTATTATTACCCCCAATCCTCCAGTGAGGAGACCACCTGTGACCCTCATCACCCCTCTGCTCACACTCTCCCCCTCTACTCCCATATCTTCCTTCTGGTCCCACTCTCCCCCATATCCCCTCTGCTCCTACATATCCCCTCTGCTCCCACTCTCCCCCACATCCCCTTGGTCCCACTCTCCCCCATATCCCCTCTGGTCCCACTCACCCCCACATCCCCTCTACTCCCACTTTCCCCCCACATCACCTCTGCTCCCATGTTCCCCCACATTGACTCATTAATTTACATATGAATGAGTTGTGGCTCATTCGTATGTAAATACTGAGATCTATTAATATGTAAATTTAACGTCAGGGCCTATTTTCAATGGTGGGCCTGAAGCTGGTGCTCCAAACTCTAGAGATTGCTTTATTTGCATTAAAATCCTTTAATGCTAACTTAAATACAAAATATCACCACACTACTCTGAACAGTTTCAGTTAGTATGTTTATTTATTTATTGTCTGATATTGTTCATGATTATCGGATCCAATAGTGTGGTGATTGAGGATTGAATGGTGGAGAGGAGTGCAGTTGCATGACAACGATGTCATTTTTTTCATCTTACAACAGAAAGGATATTTTGTATATTGGATTTAGGTGGTGATATTAAAATTTTTTTTGTACTTTATGACAATCCTGTAGTGCCTTTATTTTTCTTTATTCTTCTAAGCGTTTATTTAAATCCATCCTTAAAGTGACATTAAACCCTCAGATTTTTTAACATAAAACAATAGTGTAATGTGTGCCTTACTGTAATCCATGGTAGTTTCCCTTCTCTTTGCTGCTCTTCCTTTTAAATCTGTATCTGTTCTCATGCTGGGCAGAACTTCTGTTTTGCAGCAGACTGCCTTGTCTCTGGATTGGATACATGGTGTCTGTGTGTAGGTTTGCAACCTGAGCCAGCACTACAGGAAGAGGGACTCAGCTGCAAAGGGAAGTTCTCCCCCAGCATGAGAAGGGATACAGATTTAAAAGGAAGAGCAGCAAAGAGAAGGGAAACTACCATGGATTACAGTAAGGCACACATTACAGTATTGGTTTATGTTAAAACATCTGAGGGTTTAATGTCACTTTAAAATATGTATACTAATATGTAACTAAAGGCAACTATAGATTCAGAGCTTGTTAAGTCATCCTTGCAACACACGTTACAATCTGGATTGTACATCTACTGTAGCTTCAGTGTATGTTCTATTGATTTATCAACTGTTACATACAGACATGGACAAATTTGTTGGTATCCTGCCATGAAAAAAAAAAGAATCCAGAATTCATCATTGTTTCTTAAACAGATTTAAAAGATCAGACTTTGCTTTTAATTTTTGATTCAACAGAATATTTTAAATAACAAAACACATTAAAACGACATGGACAAAAATGATGGGACCCTCAACCAAATATTTTTTACAAACCTTAGCGGAAATCACTGCAAATAAGCAATTTCTGTAGATTTCAATTAGACTTCTGCACCTGCCAACAGGTAATATGACCCACTCTTCTTGAGCAAACTGCTACAGCTGTCTCAAAGGGGGCCTTCTCCAGACTGCATGTTTTAGCCCTTTCCATATATGTCCAAGAGGATTCAGATCAGGGCTCATAGAAGGTTACTTTCATAGTCCAATGTTTTGTTATTTGGTGCTTTTAGCTGTGTGTTTTGGGTCAATATTCTGTTGGAGGACCCATGACCTGCAACTGAGACAGAGCTTTCTGACACAGGGCTGTATGTTTCACTGCAAAATTCCTTGATAGTCTTGGCATTTTATTGTACCCTGCACAGATTCAAGGCACCCTGGGCCAGATGCAGTATAGAAGCCCCAAAACTTAACTGAACCCTTTGCCATGTTTCATAGTATGTATGGTGTTATTTTCTTTGAAAGCTTCATTTGTTTCATCTGTGAACACAGAGCTCATGGGTGTGAAGCTGGCCACACTCCTATGAGCTCTAAACAAAAAGATGCAGTTTTGTTTTATCTGTCCAAAGGACATTCTTCCAGAACCATTGGAATTTTAACAAATTCCAGTTTGGCTTTTGGTTTTTTGTTGTTGTTTTTTGCAACAGTGGAGTCTTCCTGGGTCTTTTTCCTTGGAGCCCACTGTCACTCAAAAAATTATGGAGGGTGCAATCCAACACTGATGTACCTTGACCTTGGAGTTCAGCTTGTTTCTCTTTGAAAGTTTTTTTGGGTGTTTGTCTATCAAACTGTACTTCTGTTCATTCTAGGGTTGATTTTTCTCTTGCAGCCACATCCACGGAAGCTGGCCACACTCCTATGAGCTCTAAACATCTTAATAATATTTGCAACTGTAGTCACAGGGACTTGGAAAATGGTCTTATAGCCTTTACCTTTGACATGCTGGTCTATAATTTCCTCACTCATTTACTGCTCCATGTTCAGTGTGATGTGTACGATGATACCAAACTGCTGAGTGACCACTTTTCTCAATTTAAAAAGGATGATTCATTGATTACAACTTTGAAGTCATGTGATACTAATTACTGAAATATCAGTATGATCCTATTTTCTGTCTAGGTAATTTTAGAATATCTTTGTAGAATAAGCCATAACTTATCTCTTTTCACCCTTTGGTTACTTTATAACACACACCAATTGTTTCATGTAGGTTTACATGAAACAATTGTTTTAATTTCTTTACTTTTAGGAGGATTAAAACTGTTTTAATAAGTTATTCGGGTACCAAATAAGTTGTCCATGCCTGTTGAATTGGAACAGCCAAATATATATCCAGTCAGATAGGTCTTTGTACTATGTAATTGTTGGTAAATCTAAAGGAGATTGTACAATTTCTGTACAATCGGTTTAAAATGTGTGTGGCCAGTGTGAGTCTTCAGTTTACTTTGTGATTATTCTTTCTTAGTACTTTTACTTTGTTTTAAAGACTATATAGATGTGTGGGTATGCATATATACAACAGCTTCATGCAATGTGCTCTAAATACTGTTGCTGATACCTTCTTTAAAGTGACTTTGTCACAAAAATACATTTTTTAACTAGACATGTGAATGAAGTTGTAAACAAAACAGTAAATACCTCTCACACTGTCTGTGAGGCAGAACACTAGTTAGATGAAAAGGAATCATCCACTGAAATTTCTTCAAAGACCATCACTTCTGAAAGTGTCAATCTCGTTTTAATTTGTGATTTACTCTGATTGTGTCCTGTCAGTGTTACACTCTTTTTTACAGGTACATCTCTTATTTAAAGTAAAATTTTTGTTACAGTTCCTTTACAAATAATTTGTTTACCGAAACATTAAAAATATAATTTAAGTTACACTGTTAACTATATTAATATTTATGTTACTTCGACATGTGCATAGAAAATTTTTTGTTTCGGACAAAACAAATTAAGACTAAAAACATTTTTATTCCTTTCGTCAAAGGAAACAAATTCCTATGCTGCTTTGGATTCAGAGGCAACGAGCCTCCGAAATTGCACAATAAACTGCAGAACGAGTGGCGGCCATATTGGTGTATACCAAGTGCCGCCATCTTGGTGCATACCAAGATATACTCTAAAATGGTGGCGGCATGCGCACAATGCGCTGGCAGCCAATATGGCCTCTGCGCGTTCTGGAGACGAATATATGTATGCCCAAATATCGTTTTCGGATATTCAGGCATATAATAAATTTGTTATTTCGGATTTGAAAGGACCGCTGCATCAACTGACTTTCGTTGATTTGCAGGTTCGTTCGAATCCGAATGCACATGTCTAATATTACTAATTGTTAAAATGTTTTTGCCCAAACAGCATATGACTTTAGCAGTTATTTTATGTTAATAGATTTTTTTCTCAGTTTTATTGGTCCTATAAACATTTATCTTTTAAAATGTTGGCTGTTTTGGATTAAATGGACTTAAACTTAGTTTTTCAAATTGCAGGCAAAAAATCATCTTCAAATGTACCACTTGAACTTTCCGAAAAGCCTTCATATGAACAGGTAAACTACAAAATAGTGTATGTTACATAGTTAGTCAGGTTGAAAAAAGACACAAGTCCATCGAGTTCAACCTATAGTATAACAGTAAGCTAGGGCTTAACTAAAAATAGTAATAAATGACTGCAAGTTTGTCCTTATACTGTAAATAATGGAGGGGTGCATTTTTTCCTGGAACTTGGGTACTCTATGAACTTGTATATATACATGCACTATATTTCCTAAATTCCTTCAAATACATCACTTTATTAGTACATACTCACTTTTTTCTATACAAAGCAACACATTGTGCCCCATGTTGAATAATATTACTTACTTTTTCATTTTCAGCATACTTTATCCTTAGTTTCAAAGGAATGTTTCACTAAATGATCTCTTACATAGGCAAACCTTTTTGAACCCGAGTGCCCAAATTGCGACGCAAAATCAATTTATTTATCTCAAAGTGCCAGCGCTGAAATTAAGCTTAGTACTGTATTGCAGTTCGGGCGCTCGGGTTTAAGAAACCTTCAACATCACTGCCTTAGGCCCCAATTCACACCAAGCGACATACCTTACAAGCGGATCCGCGCGACTGTTTGAGGGCGACATTCCAGCTACGATCGCGCGACCTTCACTGGCGGGCTGCATTCAAAAATAGAAAAATTGTGCGACTTCCTTGGGAAAAAGGGGCCTGCTACAGCGACTGGTGACATGGAGCTGTACATTAGAACATCTCCATTGAATAACATTAGGCGGCAACTTCTCGCAATATCGCGGCGGAAATCGCACGATTTTCCGCTCAGTGTGAAACATGCATAATCAAACATTTATACATTCAATAAAACACACACACATACACACGTAATGAATATTAGACGGTCGCTCGCGGGGGCCTCCCGGGGTCCTAGCGAGGAGGAGGCGGCCGTCTAATCTGCCTGTTAAGAAGTGGTCCTTGAACCTGGGCTCGCGTGCCAGCAGAGAGGGCCCCACGTGCCCTCCTTGGCACGCGTGCCATAGGTTCGCCACCACTGTCTTAGACAGTGTCAGGAACCATAGCACCTCCAGGTGGCGCTGGAACCAGGTTCTGCAGTTCCTGCACTCACCTGCAGGTGTTTCCAGGCAGCCAGGAGCTGTCAGGTACCATACCACCACTAGGTGGTGCTGGAACCTGCAAGTCCAGTGCTCACCTGTGGGTGTCTCCCAGCTGTTGGCGATTAATTACCACCTGGTGCTACCTGGGAGGGTATTTAATCCCTGCAGTGTGGATTTTGCCTCAGTATTGTCGCTATTACCTGAGTCCTAAGTCCTGCCCCAGTCCTGAGTCCTGCCCCAGTCCTGAGTCCTGCCCTAGTCCTGAGTCCTGCCCCAGTCATGAGTCCTGAGTCCTGCCCCAGTCATGAGTCCTGCCCCCGTCATGAGTCCTGCCCCAGTCATGAGTCCTGCCCCAGTCATGAGTCCTGCCCCTTTGTTCCTTGGCCTTTGCTCCTTGACCCCCCCTTGTGTTACTTGCTCCCCAGGTTTACTTGCCCTGTTACCTTTTTGTATGTGCTTGTGTTTACATTTAGTTAGCTACTATTACTTGTTTGTGGTTGCTTGTGGGTGTTGGTGGGGTTGTTTGTGTTATATGATTTTGGTGTGTCTAATAAACTGTATATAAGCTCATTGGCATTGTCTGGTGTGGTCACGCATTTGGTCCTCCCGTGTGGGTACCTGCATGCGGTGTGAGGACACCCGCGCATGGTACCCTGACAGAGTGTCCATCTAAATACTGTGGAAGGCATATTGTTGACAAATGTACCTACTTTTTCAGCCTCAATGGATGTTTGTTCTTTACTTTTTCAAGTGACAACAACTTCTTCTTTATTATTTTTGTTAAATCTTGGTAATTGACAGACTATTAGACATGTGCTCTTCATTTCATTCCAAATTGAAGTTCAGACACATTTAGGTAAATTCGGACATTCGGATGCATCCGAATTTCCGAATAAGAGAAATAAGGAATTGGATAACTATAATTCAGAATTACTTTTTGTTGTTAAACGTTATAATAAAAATAAACAGTGTGGAGTCCCTTCCTCAATTCATACCAGACCCTTTAGGTCTGGTAGGAATTGTAGGGGCCTGCTGCACCCCATGGCAAAGCACCTTGTCCCCATGTCGATGAGTAGAAGGGCCTCTTCCCCACAACCCTGGCCCCGTGGTTACATAGTATATGAGGTTGAATAAAGACGCAGGCTTCCGAATGTCAAAAAAGGGGCGGAACAAGTCCCCTGATGTCACGACTCGCTCCGCCCCTTTGTTGCCATTCAGGCCAGAGCTGTCATTTTGTGGCGAGAGTTTGTCAGGATCGGCCGTGTCTGAGGGCGTCGACTATTTTTTCTTTTGGCGAGTCGGCGACCGTCGTCCATCGTGATTGACAAGGATCTACATTGCTGAATGACAAGATTGACCTTTACATCGATGGACTTTTTTTTTTAATAAAAGATTTTTTATAGAGTTGTGTGTTTCTTTACAATTTTACTGTTTGCTTGTTGAATGAATAGGGGAAACAACTACCCCTTACTCATTTACGAGGGGGGGTGGGATCTGTGTGCCCCCTTCATAAAAGCAGGAAACTGGGTAGGAGACCGGCGAATGTCCATTCGCCAATCTCCTCCCCGCTCTAAGGAACCGGAAGCAACGCTGAGCGCATCACTTCTGGTCCCTTAGCTGTCATTACTGGGCTGCAGAAGCACTCCAATAAGCTATTGGGGTGTGAGCTGCATTTCAATAGCCTATTTGGAATGAAAAGACCCCTAGTGTCACCCTAAAGAATACCTGTCACTAGGGATGCACTGATACAGATACTAGTATCAATGCCGATGCTGGGTATACCATAGCCGATACATAGCGCTGATACTGGCGGTTAACATTTTTAAATAGATTTGGCTGCCTGAGGTCCTGCGTTTCCTGGGGACCTCAGGCAGCCTGCTGGGGACCTCACGGCAGCTGTCTTTGACAGTACGGATCCAACCGAACATCTCCTCTGCAGTCTTCCTGAGACTGTCACAGCACTGGACAACCCTACACCCACCTATACAGCCATGGAGATCCTGGCACCTGCCAGTACAGCCCTGTAAAAGTCCCATATGCAGCCCTGGTGAGACTTGAATGTAGCCCTGGTGAGACCCAAACGCAGCCCTGGTAAGACCTGGAGAGAGCCACATGCAGCCCTAAAGTGATCCACATCCAGGCCTTGTGAGATCTGGATGCAGCTCTGGTGAGATCTGGATGCAGCTCTGGTGAGATCTGCACGCAGCCCTGGTGAGACCTGCACGCAGCCCTGGAGATAGTCACATGCAGCCCTAAAGTGACCCACATCCAGCCCTGGTGAGATCTGCACGCAGCCCTGGTGAGATCTGCACGCAGCCCTGGTGAGATCTGCACGCAGCCCTGGTGAGCTCTGCACGCCCTAGTGAGATCTGCACGCAGCCCTGGTGAGATCTGCACGCAGCCCTGGTGAGATCTGCACGCAGCCCTGGTGAGATCTGCACGCAGCCCTGGTGAGATCTGCACGCAGCCCTGGTGAGATCTGCACGCAGCCCTGGTGAGATCTGCACGCAGCCCTGGTGAACACGCGCAGACACACTGCCACACTTCTGAGTGACCCTCACAGCCCTTCTGGATCCTGCCATACCCTCCTGAGAGCAGGTAAGTAAACTTTTATACTGCGGCTGTCTATTGTTCTTCTCTTATTGGTGTATGTCACAGTGCTAATCAAATGCAATGGAAAATGGCAACCGGCTATAGAGGACTACAAATCTCCACAATCCGTGATTGCTGGTTGCCATTCTCCATTGCTGAATAATCATAGATTGCTGAGATTTGCAGTCCTCTATAGCCGGTTGCCATTTTCCATTGCTGTATAATCATGGATTGATGGGATCTGTAGTCCACTATTGCTCAATTCTCCAATCATGGATTGAGTTACAGTTTTTCATAATTATAAAGAAACTGCACTAAAATCTAGAAAAAATGTCACGTCACTTTAAAAAAAAGTATCGGTAATTGGTATCAGCAAGTACCTGAGGAACAGTACTGGTATCAGTGCATCCCTACCTGTCACCTGCGAGCGTGTGCGTATAAGTGTAAACATACGTTGGGTGCGCCTATATATAAAATTGATGATCGCGTTACACTTGTAACACATGTGTCAAAACGAGTACAATAATTCTAGGGCCAATAATCATGAATATCTCTAAACTGATGAGCTGTACGGGCGTCACCTATGAATCATTTGGGGTACCGTATTTTGTTGCCGTTTCGTGGTCGCACACAATTTTTAACCTGGTCCTGTTGGATATCTATTTACTCGTTGTAACCTCATCTTTTATAATTTACCAATGTACTAGTGTATTATATTGTAGTTTTGGGTACTTAATTAACTTAAGTGCAGTTTTTGCTAAATATTTGGGTTTGATAAAGAGTTGCGCTAATATCGTACGACTTAAAAATTTGCAACTGCCACCAATTTATTGTATCAGAAAAAATATAATGTTTGGGGGTTTGAAGAGTAAATTTTTAGGCCTAAAATGTGGATTATAACGTGTGCAAAAAACGTAAAAAAGGCCTTGGCAGCAAAAGGGTTAAACGGCAACACTAAAAATACTCACATCCTTTAACCCCTTCGTGATGGGAGACGTACACTGTACATCCCGCCACAAAGGGACCAAATGAGTTATTTGCTGCATTAGAGGGCTGGTAACCGCTGAGAATCAGCGGTTACCATTCATTAATGGATGCCTCAGTATAGGAGGCATTCATTAATGAAAGGGTTAACCTTTTTCAGACACCTGATACCTTAATATCGGGTGTCTGAGAGTCAAAGCAGAGCGGGCAAACATGCCGGCAAAAGCCGGCATTCTTACAGCTCGTATAGATCTAGAGATATCTCTCTCGGATCGTATACTGGCTTTTTTTTTTTTCTTTCACTTTCAGGGATACATAATGTATCTATTCCTGAAAGAAGAATGTTTCAGTTT